TAGGTTGTAATCTGCCCACTTGAGAACAAACAAGTCATTTGATTTAAAGTGCTTGAGTTAATTATTTATGTATTATATAAGGATCTAATGCCGTCTTCAACTAAATAGATTTCGACCGGCAATATAACGTATAAAATAATGTTATTTTGCTAGGGAGGAGGGAGCTCCTGCAATCTAAAGATCTTCTAACAGTCTAACCTATCTGGCGGCTACCCGACATGTTGCTTGAGCAGACGCAGTTAGAAAAACTATGCCATAATTAGGTCAGAAAAATAAATAGCACAAGAGTCAAGACGTAACGTGGGTCACGCCGGCCGTCAGTCTCCACCTCGCCCATATATATATCATCAGGATATTTCCTAAGTAGATGTCGCCCGGGCCAGGGGACGCCAGCAAATTTTTGGCAGGTTTTGCTGCGCACCACCACTATGTGGAACCAGCTGCCCACTGTTGTATTTCCGAACCAATTCGACTTACGGCCCTTCAAGAAAACACCGTACCGATTCTTAAAAGGCCGGCAGCACGCTTGCGAGCCGTCTGGCATTGAGAGTGTCCATTGATGGCGGTATCACTTAACAACAGATAATAAAATAAAAAAATATAAAAAAGACCCCTAGTTTCTCAGAACTGCCTGATCGCGTGCCTGATAATATACTAATATAAAAAAACTAAGTCGATAAAATGTGCGTGCCGATAAAACTTAAAAAGGAGTCCCGACACGATAAAAGGACTTATGTGGTGTGATAGCCCTTTATCCCCCCTCGAACAAGAAAGTTCCCGTTTTAATCTAAAGGGCATGTTTTTAAAGATATATAAGGGAATTTCCGACCCTTCAACTTGGAAATTAAGTGCAGTGACGCCATCTGTTATCGAATATTTGAACTTCGTTCAAGACAACGATTGTTTGGGTTGCATTTCCAAAAGCGTTGCGAGCAATTGTAGCATGTGTAGTAGTGACACGAAATTTAAAATTCCAATTTCAATAGTCTTAAATTTAATTTGTTGCTATAATAAAGTTATTAAATTTTGTGTATTTATACGTCATTAGCTAACTTATATTTTGGAGTTAAAGCGACATAATTTTAGTTATCCAAATTAGTTCTCAAAACATTAAAAAAAGTCAATTTCAAAGAGCAATTTTGGCCACTAAAAATAATATTGTTGACGATATCAATTTTAATATTCTAAAGAAAATACCTGGTGAAGAGAAAATATCGACGTAGGAAAGCATATTTGCTGTAAGTAGACAAAATACCTAAAGTGACTTTTTCCTGCCATTAGAATCAGAAAAAAAAGCCGCATCGAATGACCTGGGTCCTGTGTCTCTACGATGAAAAAAAATACATACGCCGTTGAAAACGCCCGTACTTATATTATTTTTAGCAAGATTAAATGCTGTATGTAGACCAAAATCTAGTCATTTCAGACATTTTGCACTTACAGCAAAAGAAAATCTGCATTTTTTTCTTTACAAATACTTACTTCTTCCCATTTAAAAACTTAACGCTACTTACAGCATTTCAGCGGCGTGTGATTTTTACATTCATTTACTTACAGCAAGCTTAGGGAACCTACAGTTTTAGTGTTTTTTACCATTTACGACATTTTATTTCAACCGAACATTACATTACCAAATGACCCACTGCATTTCTAGATCTAATCATAATTATAAACTAATCTTACATCTTGAATTGCAATTGAAAGTACCCAAATACATAAATTTACTGCATACAGCATATTTACCGCCTGTAATTTGATAATATTTCCGCGCGTACATTTTTCTTCCTTAGTTACAGCGTTTTAAAGGTTTGTGATTTAAAAAACTGTTTGCTGTAACTAGCCAAACACGTACTTATAGTAACTTTGGATAAAAAGTTTACATTGCAAATGGTGACTGGCAGTTAAATAAATATATGTTTCAAAAATGGTAGCAATATCATGGATAGGTCAGACACTATTAATTTTTTTCCGAAATTAATAAAGTTTTTTGGCTCTGGTGAACAATTGCAATATGTCTACTTACAGCAAATGTGCTTTCCTACGTCGATATATAAATCGATCGACACGATGGTATCCATTGAAGAAAGTGTCAACTTCCCCACTGAATTTCTAAACTCTTTACAAGTACCAGGAATGCCATTACACTGCCTTCGTCTGAAAATTGGAACTCCAATCATACTACTCAGAAATCTCAACTCCCCAAAATTATGTAATGGAACTAGAATGATCGTAAAACAGCTATCGAATAATATCATTGAAGCTGAACTTATTTCTGGAAAGACCAAAGGACAGACAGTATTTATACCTAGAATACCTCTGATCTCTTCGGAATTGCCATTTCAATTTAAAAGACTGCAGTTTCCAATAAAATTAGCCTTTAGTTTTACAATTAACAAAGCGCAAGGACAAACTTTAAAATATTGTGGCATTAACCTCAAAGAATCCTGCTTCTCTCACGGTCAGCTATGTGTAGCTTGCTCAAGAGTAGGAAATCCGAAAAATTTATGTATATATACTCCGGACAATAAAATGAAAAATGTTGTTTATAAACAAGTATTGTAAATAATGAGAAAACGTTTTCAATAAACTTTTTTTTTACTTTTTACGTCATAGTTTATTTTTTTATTTCGACTCTACCACGTCATCTCATATCTACTCCCGGGCGAAGCCGGGATTTTTAGCTAGTATATAATAAAACTAAGTCGATAAAATGTGCGTGCCGATAAAACTTAAAAAGGAGTCCCGACACGATAAAGGGACTTATGTGGTGTGATAGCCCTTTATCCCCCCTCGAACAAGAAAGTTCCCGTTTTAATCTAAAGGGCATGTTTTTAAAGATATAAGGGACTTTCCGACCCTTCAACTTGGAAATTAAGTGCAGTGACGCCATCTGTTATCGAATATTTGAACTTCGTTCAAGACAACTATGGAGACTATACACTCCAATAGTCATATATATCTCCATAGTTGTGAGCCATTGCAGCATGTGTAGTAGTGGCGCGAAATTTAAAATTCCAATTTCAATAAAATCTTAAATTTCATTTGTTACTATAATAAAGTTGTTAAATTTTGTGTATTTATACGTCATTATTTAACGTATATTGGAGTTAAAGCGACATAATTTTAGTTATCCAAATTAGTTCTCAAAATATTTAAAAATTTAGGTTTTTAAATTTCGCGCCTTTACTACATACGCTACCGCTACAGAAGCTAGAAAGTTCCCGTTTTAATCTAAAGGGCGTGTTTCTAAAGATATAAGGAACTTTCCAACCCTACAACTTGGAAATTAAGTATAGTGGCGCCATCTGTTATCGAATATTTGAACTTCATTCAGGACAACGATTGTTTGGGTTGCATTTCCAAAAGCGTTGCGAGCAATTGTAGCATGTGTAGTAGTGACACGAAATTTAAAATTCCAATTTCAATAGTCTTACATTTAATTTGTTGCTATAATAAAGTTATTAAATTTTGTGTATTTATACGTCATTAGCTAACTTATATTTTGGAGTTAAAGCGACATAATTTTAGTTATCCAAATTAGTTCTCAAAACATTAAAAAAGTGGTTATTTCAAAGAGCAATTTTGGCCACTAAAAATAATATTGTTGACGATATCAATTTTAATATTCTAAAGAAAATACCTGGTGAAGAGAAAATATTATATAAATCGATCGACACGATGGTATCCATTGAAGAAAGTGTCAACTTCCCCACTGAATTTCTTAACTCTTTACAAGTACCAGGAATGCCATTACACTGCCTTCGTCTGAAAATTGGAACTCCAATCATACTACTCAGAAATCTCAACTCCCCAAAATTATGTAATGGAACTAGAATGATCGTAAAACACCTATCGAATAATATCATTGAAGCTGAACTTATTTCTGGAAAGACCAAAGGACAGACAGTATTTATACCTAGAATACCTCTGATCTCTTCGGAATTGCCATTTCAATTTAAAAGACTGCAGTTTCCAATAAAATTAGCCTTTAGTTTTACAATTAACAAAGCGCAAGGACAAACTTTAAAATATTGTGGCATTAACCTCAAAGAATCCTGCTTCTCTCACGGTCAGCTATATGTAGCTTGCTCAAGAGTAGGAAATCCGAAAAATTTATGTATATATACTCCGGACAATAAAATGAAAAATGTTGTTTATAAACAAGTATTGTAAATAATGAGAAAACGTTTTCAATAAACTTTTTTTTTACTTTTTACGTCATAGTTTATTTTTTTATTTCGACTCTACCACGTCATCTCATATCTACTCCCGGGCGAAGCCGGGTTTTTTAGCTAATATACTAAATAAAAAAACCCTTTGACTAGCGGAAGGTCCCAGTTAATGTCGAGAGTAGTATTTGCGGTCGGGATAACAAAGTTAGCGCGTTTCAGGATGCAAGGATCGTAAGTGTAGGAACAACTAATTGTATTTGAACGTTGCATGCTCGTAGTTTTGTTGCAAATATGCCCACGGGGCGCTTCATAAGTATTCGTACAAAAAGCTACTTTTATTTTCTAGGTGTTTGATTTTTGGTATTGAGTATTGTTATACATATTGCTCATTGAGTGCCGCGCGTTTCCAAAGTTGCTACGGAATTAAGAGAATTACATTGAAATAACATAAAATAATATCAAGATCAGTATAACTATTGGACTAGCCCAACAGGACAAAGAAACAAAGGCTGAACAAAAGAGCATGGATCTGTTTATTTCCATTTGATATTTAATCGATATACTTATTATTTCCATTTTAGTTCTTAACTTCTGTATTTAATTGTGTTTCATATTCATTGATAAAATTCCTCTCCATCATGATAATATGCGCGTCCTCACAGTGCATTAGTCAAAAACAAAGTGAACAAGTGCGAGAGACCGAGAGTGGTTGATGCTCTCGCCTCACTTATATATTTTATGAATATACGTATTAAAATATAAAAAATCTATAGAATTTTTAATAAAAGACGGATATCATTTTAATACTATATTTCATATTAAGTGAATTTATCCAATTAATGAAGCCTGGTACATGGATAGAATAAGAAAACCCACAGCATAAACGACTAATATAATATCCATTGCGGTTGCAAAAAGATCCCTGGCATGGGTGTTCTCGGACATATGACGCAACTGACATCGAATGTGGCTGCAAAGTCGTCCCAATTGCGCTACTAGTAGGCCAACTGAATTATAAATCGCACTATAAAATCAAAAATGTTTTAATTGTAGCTATGTTTTTATTTATCGTATTATATATATTGGAAATTATATAAGTAAAGTATCTTGGAAATATTAGGTTGAAAAGTATTTAAGACACCATTAATTTTTGATTAAATAGCTTGTTGTGTAAAATACTGCATTGTAAAATAAAATAATAAAAAGGAATAAAAACCCATTAATTATTCATACTATAGCGTAAGATTGAAAACGGCGCCATCTCTGGTGAAATGTAGTAAAATTCGAACGGAGATTGGAAATACAATTGCTGTATTAGAATCTACCTTTAGATAGTAGACGTAACATTAAATAGATGGCGCTGTAATTAGGAAAAGGGACAAAATGTTTAATTTTAATTTTATTAAAGAGGGATCAAAAGAAAGTTTTTACCTGGTACAGATAACAATACTTTATTCTATAAAAAAATTTTTTTTTTCATTATTTTTGATAAATTTTTAATGGCAAGCGTTTTGACAACAATAATCATTTACTGTTCCTAGTAATATGACATTATGGTTATTAACATGAGATTTGCATGCCTATTTAAATATGGCTGATTGTGCGGTGTTTTTTTATATTTAATCAATCTAAAAGTATCACTTTCTTTGCAAATAAACGATTTGTTATTATAAGAATTGACTGGTATTGATATACCTTAAATTCCTTTTACATACACTTAGGTAAAATTTTGTTCAATTCTAGTTATTGGATAAATTTTATAAGTAGTAATACATACTTTGGTGAACACTGCCACTGGGAGAAAGAATTAGTACTGAATAATGGGAGGACCAGCGCAGCCAAATACCAGAAACTGTTACTCAGGAGCGAGTTTTGTGTAGATATTAATGCTGATCTCTGGACACCAGAAGCCCTGTAATTAAAAAAAAATGTTTAATATTTAAAGAACTTTATTTCTCATTACAAAAATTATTTTTTTTATTTACATGAGAAATTTAATATTAAGTATATATACGCACGAGATACACGTCGCCATCAGCTAGCCCAATTCTAGTCTAATGGGCCCATTCTGATGTGTGTCTTTAATGCCCTTTTGAACTGATCAATCACTCTAATGTTACGAAGCTTAGACGGCAACCGATTAAACAATTGCACACCCTCATCCTAATAGATCTCTTTAAATAATTTGCGCGCGGCTTTGGCAAGATAAGCAAACTCGCTCGACGAGTATTGCGTGTAGTGGTGTATTTGATTTTATTAAATGATAAGTTACTATGTAGAGAGTTATTTAATTTTTTTTAATAAACCCATTAATTTTTTTTAATTAAAACCATTTAATTTTCAAATATATACATTAGTCAAAATTCATTCGTTAATTAAATAAATTGTGCGTGTACTAGGTGTACACACGTAAGAAGTGAAACTTCTTTATGATCTTATTTTTCGAAAAATGATCTACTATATGCAACTTTACAGAAATTCGTTAAATTAGATAAAGTTTAACAAAAGGCTTTTATTATCATAGACATGAATACAAATATTTCATTTTACCTTATTACTACGAAGATTATTATAGAATTTCATTAATTGTAATAGAATTATTACTATCATTGAAAAACGTGACGATTTGCTACAAAATTTCTCCCATACGTCGATAAAGAAGTTTCATTCCAACGCCGATAAAAAAGTTTGACTTCAAAAAGCAACATGGCGCGTAACCGAAAAATGTGACGAGTAACGAAAAAATGTTACACTAAATTTTTTTCCAACCTCGATAAAGAAGTTTCACTTCAAAAAAAAAACTAATTATTACACCTACATAGAAAAAATATGCATTAAAAAATTTAAAGGTTAAAAAATAGGTAAAATTTTTAAACATTAAAAAGTAATTTTAGCTTGAGCCGTCCGCTGCGTCCGGATGATATAATTTACGAATTTCCATTTATCCTGGAGCAGTCTTAACAAAACACAAACATTGACTGTTTCATTTTTTTAATTTAATTACGCTAAAAGATTAATTATTTAATTGTAACTTTACAACGCTCAAGACCGAACGCAATGGAGACTGACTGTGGACACCCTCTGCCCCATCTAGGGGTTTTAGGATGAAAGTAACTATACAACTACCCTGACAGTTAATAGCCAATGCGATAGTTGTGTAAATTAATTTCCGACTGAGGGTCCTTCCAGAAAAGAGCGTATCAATTCTTAATAGGCCGGCAACGCACTCACGAGCCCTCTAGCATTGAGTGTCCATAGACGGCGATCATCACCAGTTCGCAAGTCAAGGGCGTAGAACAGGTAAGAAGAACTGGCTAGAAACTCTCCGCCAGTCTTTTAAATCGCCATCTACCTTTAGGTAGCTATGATAACTTATTCCAAACTTCGTACGTAAGCCTATAACACCTAATGAATGGCTCTGAGTTAAGCAAAATCTTGACCTGATACCACGTAAGGGTACTTCAGTAGGAGAGTCTCCTATCCAGCGATCCACATCACCACTGAGTTGGCTGTCATTTCGGGCTAGCACGTACGACGAGGAATGTGTCATATTGCTCTATAAAAAAAGTCTTATACACATAATGAACTAAGCTGTCTAGGTCTACAAATGTAAAAGTATAAATATGCTAGGAACACTGCATAAATATGCTTGAAAATTATTAATATTTACTTCGTAAATTGTTTAAATAAACAAATGGAATGTTTTGATATTATTGTATATAATTATGGAACACTTTAATTGCTAAAACAGTAAATATTTGTTATTCGTAACGCATTTATGTCATTACTTAAAAGTAATGTAGAAAACATAAGAACCTCACCCAAGTATAGCCAGACGCAGGCACTCTCTTCAATATACGTACATTCTCAACATATCTCCTAATGTTGTACGCGAGTAGTTTTTAAATAGTAAAAAAATCCCCGATGACCCAGGAATCGTAGATACACATTACACACTCATACAATCAAAAGACGAAACAAAAATACTTCTAATCTTCAACTTCTCAAATACTAACCTCCGATTCTTGAACCTTATCATGAGTTTCTATTTCATTTCTATTGCTTTCTTGGTTCGTGTTTAAAATATATTCATTTTCCAATGAATTTTCTAAATATTCCCGTGCAATATCTGCCATTTTTGAACTAAAATGAAAATAACCGCTAATAGAATTCTGAATGAAATTCCGATGTGGTTGCAAGCAATCACGAAATGAGGTGAGAAAAAATAAAAAAACTTACCAGAATTGGGAATAAATAAATTATAGATTTCCCTAACGCATGCCCACGGCAAGGTTAGGAAATATACTAATCTGATTACATTATTACCAGAATGTTTTCCAAATTGTAATGTGTATTTTCTAAATAAATTTAGTTTTTGACAATCATTAGTTTTATGTACTTTGACATATTATGCAAATGAAAAGTTTTTATTTAGTTTTGTTGTTACAAAGTTTTAATTTTGATCGAGTGTTTTTAAAAGACTAGATTTGTAACATATCTCTTGGAAAACACGTTTTGTACAATAAACTTCTTGCCAACCCTGTAGTAAGTTTTATAGTTTACGTAGTTATGTTACTTTATTCCAAAACTAATTGCTTAAACAGTCACACTTGACCGGTCCTGATTAAATTATACACAGTTGATTATAACCTAATAATTAATTTGTTAATTCAGTAGCGCGTGAACTCTAACAATTTTTTATCTATGTTATTTTTAATGTCATTGTGTGGTCTACGAGGTGGATTTGGCGCGAACGGCTGGAGTCTATTGTTCGAATTGACGTCAATTTGAATTTTGGACATCCCGCCGTTTCTTTATTCGCGGGTGCACAGATAAAAAAGGTTTTATTGTCATTTGATATAGAAACTTTTTGCGGCATCCTTTACAATGGTAAATTAGTTAATTTGAAAACAAGGAATTATTCAAAAACGGGATGATAAAAAAAAGATTAATAGTTGTGGGCTAGGAGAATACATGATAACGTAATAATACCATGGGAAATAGAGATGAATTTATATACTATTCCGGTAACTTAGAAAAGAAATGTACTTTTTAACTTTTGTACATTGTGCACTGATTATGTAATGTGACTGCAAATGACGGCGATTTAACAAGGATAAGTAGCTATAATTAGGATTATTGTCAACGAGGTCACTTAATGACTTAATCAGAAGACTGCGTGTTCTCCAGTAATCTGGATCAGAGCATACTCAAATAAAATTCACCGCATTCTGTACCTGTTTTATACAATATATTAGACTTAACATCAAAAGGAAAATTTTTAACAACTTTGTTTTTGACTATGTCCATTTGTTTTAATATACAAATGATGCTTATTAATTTTTTTCTATTCTTTTGTCAGATTATATCACAAATATAATCGAGTGATCGTGAAAGATTGAAAGTGTTTCGAAAGTTGCACGAATCGATCAATTTTTTTATATCGCAACACTTTTTCTACGATGCCTATATTGACCACACTGCGGGACATCGCTACCGTGAACATTTCGCAACTTTTTTTCCACCTGACTTTTGATATACGTCAAAAATTAATCGATTATACTAGCTGTCAATAAGGAATTTATTTTTTATACGTTTCTTGAATTTCACCAAGACAATGCAAACTGTCGGCACGATCAAAGATAGATTTGAAAAAAATATTATTGTACAGTTATTTTATATAAATTTTATTTTTCGACAAAATAATTGCAAAACTCTTCTATTTATTGCCGACTACTTATTGTTTGGCCGTGTACATCGGTTATAAAGAATTAACCATTTAAAAAAAATTGTCAGAATTCACTACACGCGTATTAATGTACACGATTATAAGTATACAAACAACATCAGACAATTTTTTTTTTGTTGCTAGCTTAGATAAATTTGTATTTAAAATATTCATACTGTTTGCTTAGGATTAAAAAATAAATCGGCCATATGTTGACCAAATGAAATCGTAGTCAACCCTTTATTTGCCGCGACCGTTTAGACCCCTATTATAACATTTAATGCTAAACAAACATGGGATCTTTCTAAATCACTTCATCGTCCACTAATCGACTAAATGGAGCGCGGCTTTTATTTTGATCCGTTAGGAATAGGTTAAATTACCATTTAAATGTGAGTTAATGTTGGTTAAGTGTAAGCTCTCTATTTAACTAGCTATTGCCTCAATTGTAAATAAGAAAACGTTTAAGTTAACTAAGCCTTTCTTATTTACAATAAATAGGTATAAATCCAAAAAAGCTGGGTGTTTTAAGAAGGCAAGCTCATATGCAGCTACATGGCTAGTATGACCTCGTATAGAATACTGACCATATCTCTGGGCCGGTGACCAAATTCAGCGAAGTGCTTGTCGAATTGTCAGTCTCTTATTACTGCTTCGCTTGATTCTCTTTGCGCAGAGACATTGCGTCTCTATGCGTTCAAAGTGTAATGGAGAGTGTTCTTGAGTGTGATTGGGTTGATCCCTACAGCCTCGTTTCATCATTATACGAGCCGTATTAACTCAAAATTTCATCCGCATCATCTTAATGGCTGGACTCATTTTAGTGGGTGTCCATGGTGTGCGATCACTGCCCTTTTTAAATCGTCCTGTAGGCTCGTTATCCCCCTTTCCTATAAAACAATACATGTAAACTTCTTGAATCTATTGATAAAAACTGTATTAAAGTCTGTTGCATAGTTTACAAGATCGGCACGAAAGACAGGGAGAATACTTTAAAAGACTTTAGAAAAAGAATAGTATAAAAGTTATTCGTTCGCAGTTATGTTTGTGATAGTACTAAATATCATATATATACATATATATATATTTGATTTAAATAAGGTGTATTTCAACCAAGCAAACTTACCTTACATCGAAATCAGTAGGTTTAGAGATTTCCACGCGCTATTTTCTTTATATGTAATTGGCAGTTGTAAACATCTCAGTAATTTAAGTACAGAAACCGTTCTGAAAGCATGTTAATGTAGAAATTCCATATTCAAAAAACTGAGAGTGGGACTGTTGAGTAGGTTTTTATTTTAAATGTAATATCCTTAAAATAAAAGCATAAAGATATAAAATAATAAAATAAAATAGGGTTATTTAAATTACTAAAAGGACTTCATTAAAATATCCGGGTTAGTAAAACATATTAAACAGGTATACAGGTTCACTGGCTATGTACCAATGGTGAAAAATTATTTTAATTAATTATTAATTAATTACGATATCTTATTATTATTTATGTTTGTGAAAGAGTATATTGTATAATCATAGTTATATGTGTTTTTTATTAAACATAAAAGAACCAAACGGTTCTTCCTAGTTCTAAAATTAGCCGCACAGAAATAATTTGACCAAACATTTCTGTTATACATTTTAAATAATATAATTTAGAAAGGGTAAAATCGGTTCTCCGGTATATGGTTAGTTCGCGCCACGATTTATGGAAATAGCATCATTTACTTCAACCCTTTTGATAGCTTCTTTGGTACATTATAGCATCCCTTATTAAGAGCTCATTTCGGAGAAATGTCGTAAACACAGTGATTAGTTCATTCGTTTTAAATGGAACGCTATTGCAATGTTTGTACTTTGTGTTATAACTAGCTTAATTTTTCCTTTGAGTTTTATAGATATACCTAGAAGAAATCATGTGAAATCTAATCTCTAATATATAAAATTATCGTGTCACAATGTTCGTTCCCATACTACTCCGAAACGGCTCGACAGATTCTTATGAAGTTTTATATTCATATTCAGTAAGTCTGAGAATCGGCTACTATCTATCTTTCAAACCCCTAAGTGATAAGGGGTGTCCACCCTAATTTTTTTTTGTTTTTATTTTTTTATGATACAGCAGACAAATACATACAACTCCTAATTTTCACCCCTCTACGATCTAGGGGTTGATTTTTTATTATTGTAGATAGTTATTTTTATTGAACTAAAAAAATTTTTTTTTAGAAATAATATACATGGCAAAACAAACGTTTGCTGGGTCAACTAGTAATACATTTTTTTTTATGGAACAGGGAGGAGGCTAACCTGATGTTAAGTGTTACCGCCGTCCCCTCTTAATGCCAGAGGGCTCGCGAGTGCGTTGCCGGCCTTAATAATTACATTTAAACACGTTTCTATTTCAATATTCTTTTAGGTATCTGTGTGCCCTTTTTTTGGCAAAGGCCGCCTCCAAATCCCGCCATTCCTCTCTGCACTGTGCCACTCTATGCCATATACCACTTTAGTTAATCTAAGTTGTCTTCCTTTTTTTTGTTTGCTTATTTTAATTTTGTAGTTAAATACGGAGAGAAGAGAACCGAATAGTCTCGAATAGGTGGTAATGGTAGGGAGGAGTGATGGCAGGAGAAGATGGGGTCGAAATAAAGAAAGTTATGGGTTTCAACATCCCTAATGCACTAAGACAAGCTAAGGATAGAGTGGTGTGGACGTAGCAAGTCGACGTATCGCTTAGGGCTTTTCAAGACAGGCCTTCAGTAATGAAGATTATTTATGTACCGTATTATTACTAAGAAGAGTCGAAAAAAATTGGCACCTTTTAATATTACAGAAACTTTATGCAAATTATTCATTAATAATTTCTTTATGTTTATAGACTTTTCAAAACAAAACTGTTACTAAAAAGAATACTTACCAATACAACAAAGAAACTAACTAACATTCTTATATTTTCGAGATTAACATCCTATTGTTATAATCCACATGTTATCGTCCAATATCCTGTTCGAATTTTGAATTCGCGTCAAAGCCTACCCTCCCTTCCGGAGCACGTGTCTACGACACAAACAATTCTTCGCAATTCAAAAAACACTAATGAATCTTTTATCCCTTTTCATTCAATACACATTACGAATAGTATGAAAGAGATAGCCTCCACGACAGTTGGTATGGCGTCTGCCACCACCATATGTTACTTGAGGTTTCAAAATTACCCACCCGTTGGAATGGCGATTTTACCTACAAAATTGTCTATTGATTTGAATGACAGATCCTTAAATAGGTAGCACTTTTTGTATTGCAATACAATTTTATATTTTGTATACAATACTTATTAAATAATTATTTTATAATAATACATAACAGTACGTAGGTACACAAAAAATTAACAAAATTTAAATAATGCTGAGC